TGGCATCCGCAATATCCATTGCGAGCTTGGCCTCGGCAGGGAAAATATAACGAGCAATGGTCACTGAAACAAAGGAAACAAATGTTGGGTTCTTGATTTGATAGTGCTTAGATTTAATTTTGTTAGAATAAGTTAAAACTTGGAGGAGCTAGATTTTGTGACGTATAGTATCCCACACAGTTGGAGAAGAGAACGAAGCATTGCTTGAAAGGGTGTAGAAACCTCTCCCTACTAGACTCGTTTTAAAACCTTGGGGGGAAGCTCGGAAGGGAAAGCCCAAAGAGAACAATATCTACTAGCGATAGGCTTGAGTTGTTACAAATGGTATCAAAGTCAGACACCGGGCGGTATGCAAGCGAGAACATTGGGCCCCAAAGGGAGGTGGGGTCCCACACGGTTGAAGAGGAGAACGAAATATTGCTTATAAGGGTGTGGAAATCTCTCTCTACCAGACACGTTTTAAAACCTTGAGGGGAAGCCAGAAAGAGAAAGCTCAAAGTGAACAATAGCTGCTAGAGGTGGGCTTGAGCTATTACAAATGGTATTAGAGCCAGACACCGAACGGTGTGCCAGCGAGGATGTTGGTCCCCAAAGGGGAGTGGATTGTGAGATCCCACACAGTTGAAGAGGAGAAGGAAGCATTGCTTATAAGTGTGTGGAAACCTCTCCCTACAAGACACGTTTTAAAACCTTGAGGGGAAGCCTAGAAGGGAAAGCCCAAAAAGAACAATATCTACTAGCGGTAGCTTGGGCCGTTACAAATGGTATCAGAGCCAGACACCAAGCGGTGTGCCAACGAGACGCTGGGACTCAAAGGGGGGTGAATTGTGAGATCCCACACGGTTGGAGAGGAGAACAAAACATTTATTATAAGGGTGTGGAAACCTCTTCCTACCAAACATTCCTACCAGACGCGTTTTAAAACTTTAAAGGGAACCCCAAAAGTAAAAGCTCAAAGAAACAATATCTACCAGAGTGAACTAAGGTTGTTACATATAGTTATCTCATTTCATTACCGATGTGTGAATATATATATATATATAGAGAGAGAGAGAGAGAGAGAGTATCACCTCTATTTTCAAGATAATCTAGAACATGCATATCAGCCGTGGGAATATGAGTTTCGATTTCCATACAACCAGAAACTGAACTCCTACGCATCTCTCTCTCCAACACATCAATGCACAACCGATCTTTGTTAGACTCCTGTCCCTTATCAGTCATCTCATTATAATCCTTAGGCCTAGTCAGCCTCCGACAGATTGTAACCGCAGTTTGTCCATCAGCTGTACGTTCTAAAGCAGAGGTTCCCTTATCCAGAAGGGCCACAATGATTTTAGGATCCTTACGCCTTGCAGCAACATGAAGAACTGTTTGTCCCCTAGGATTCTTAAGATCGAGATCTGCCAAGCCTAGATTAAGAACCTCTTTAATCACTCTAGGATCACAATAGGCAGCTGCATAGTGAAGGGCGTAAGCATCATACAATGTAATATCAGAAGATTCATTTAAAAGAAGTTTCAATAGTTCAATATCATCAGCATCCAATGCTTTGTGGAGATTCCTGATTTTCCTCTCACGGTTTAGGTCCACCTCTTCTACAATATTTGGTTCAGTCTCTACCTGAGATTTCATACGCAGTGACTTAATCTCACTTGCAACTTCATTTGGAAGCTCTTTTTCTAGAGACATAGCCTCAAGGTTCGACCTTGCGACTCGTTGGATGCAAGGGGAGAGTAGCTGGTCCAGATGACAATGGTATCCAGCAATCAGAATAGTCATCACATCTTCCACAGATGCCTTCTCAACAAAACTTAGGAGCCGACGCTGCACAAGTTAGTCGATACCGAGTTAGATTGTGTATTCACTCACGATCAGGTTGAAGAGAAAGAACCTAAACTAAAATGAAGCACCCTATGACTTGATTTTGTTATGCTAAAGCAGGATAAGCAGACGACTTAGTGAACTCACCCTTATGCAGAATCAGTATAGTATGCAGGTTAAGCTATCTATTAGATTAAACCACCTCATGCTCATCTAATCCATCAGTAATCCGTTCAAAATCAATGCGCACATAGCTACCACAGGCCAAAGAGCTAAGCTAATGATCTCGTTCTTAAAAGCAGCAAAAAGTTTAGGTATGCTAAATATCTCACGTCCGCTAATTAAGGGGTTGATCATGAATTTATAAGTAAGAAATACATCTCCAGTGGAATGAGGCCTTTTGGGGAAACCAAAAGTAAAGCCATGAGAGCTTATGCTCAAAGTGGACAATATCATACCATTGTAGAGAGTTGTCATTTCTAACATGGTATCAGAGTCATGCCTTTAACTTAGTCATGTCACTAGAATCCTTTAATGTCGAACAAAAAAGTTGTGAACTTCGAAGGTGTAGTCAAAAGTGACTCAAGTGTCGATCAAAGGGTGTACTTTGTTCAATGACTAGAGAAGGAGTCAAGTCTCGATTAAAGAGAGGTTGTTTGAGGGCTCCATAGGCCTCAGGAAAGGCTCTATGGTGTACTTTGTTCGAGGGGAGGATTGTTGGGAAAGGAGTCCCACATCGATAATTAAAGGGATGGATGATGAGTTTATAAATAAGGAATACATGTTCATTGGAACAAAGCTTTTTGGCAAAAGTAAAGTCATAAGAGCATAAGCTCAAAGCGGACAATATCCGATATCATATCATCGTGGAAAATTGTGATTTCTAACATTTTTTTTTAACCTAACAATTCTCTCACTTGAGACTGATCCAGTCAACTAAGAATTTCATTCTCAAACGACCATCAGCATTTTTATTACAAACTTGCCAGTGAAATGGTATCGCCTCCTAATATGTTTTATCTTCAAATGATAGACTGGTTCTTCACCAACTGTATGATGCTCTTACTATCTATATAAAGAATCGTCTCAATCAGACTCAATCCTTTAAATGTTACCAATCTAATGCTATACTGCATTTCATTTCTTTTTAGTGGTTTCCCCATAAAAATCTGCGAAAGAAGCTACAGTATTGGGCTCAAATAACGAAGTGATAACATGAACTATAAAAAACCAACGAATAAAACAGTAAACTTTCCATCAAAGAGACTGATCAACAAAACCATATGGATAAGAAATATAAAGAATTTGAGAAATGTTCTCGTACCTGAACAAGCAATACCATCTCTTTCGTCTTGAAAGTGGCAGAAGCATACAACAATTGTAGAGTAAAATTAATAGCAGGGCCACAAGCATGATGAGCACAGGACTCATCCACACACGTTGACACTTCTGGTGGCAATGGCTTTAGCTTTCCCGTGTACAAGTAATTCAAGATAACCTTGAAAGCTTCAATTCCAACCTTACTGAAAGGTATCAACTGAGACATACAATATTTTGGCTTTCCATCTTTTGTGGAGCTATCCATTTCCTGCTTAAAAAGCTCATGAAAAAACAGACTCCGAGCCGCCAAGATACAGCGATGAACACCAACTTCAATGCCCTCAACAACAACCACAGCATCGGTATAGTCATAGTCAGAATCATTCACTAGCTTCTCGAGGCTTGCGCTTAGCTTGCTAAGGCACAAATGGTCAGAATTTGCAGAAGGGTCATTGCTGAATGTTGCAGCAACGTTGTTATAACTGGACCCATTTGACACATAAGAAGACGATGAGGGATCGTCCATGGCTTAAAATATGCGCTTCCACTAAGATAACTCAAGAAAGAAGCTCAAAAGTAACAAAGATTGAACGAAATCACGATGCTCAGAACACAGATTTGGAACAAGAACTAACTGAACCAAATAGGGAAATTTCTTAACTATTTCTTGATCGAACCCATGGATGGAAATTACGTGGTCAATAATCAGACAAACACAGATAATCAAGACTCAATACTCAGAAATGGAATCGAAATCTTACTGAAAATGCTCCTTTCAGGCGTTCATCCATGGACTACCAAAAAGAATTTCAAACCCAAAACTTAATCGAACACAAAACATCGCAAGAGATTAAGCGAAGAACAAAACAAGAAGAGATGATGATCTGAGGATTGAAGAAGAAGAGCTAGTAGAAGACGACAGAATTGACCTAGATTTATGAAGTTGCATAAATTTCTGGTTACGTTGCAACTTGCATCCTCTCATAAATTTTCAATAAAAGTAATATATCATATATCTTTAGTGTACTATAAAGCAGGGCTAGAGTACAAATTTAATAATTAAAAAGTATTCTTTTTAAAAAAGTGAATTTTTTTTGTTTTATCGAAAATTACAAGTGAATTATATATATATATATATATATATATATATATATTTTAAAAATGTTTTGAAAGAGTTAATTCAAATTAAAATTAAAGATTTTTACATTATTTGTTTAATCAGTATATAAATTAACAAAAATTAGAAAGATGATAACTAAGTTTGATATTATTTGATGAAATTAAAATAATTTTTTTTTTCTTCAATGAAATAAAAATGATTGGATTCTTTAATGATATTATTTAATAGTGTAATTATTGTGTCCTTGATAATGTGATGGCGGCTGCATGGGTATGATTCTTCATTCTCAACTTGCACGCGTGCGATTTAAAATGACGATATTGTCCCTATACATATATATTTATTATTATTATTTTTCTCAAACCTATTTTAATTTATTTAAATGAAAAGTATTGAACAAAGCTTTAAAACCACCATGAATGTATACTAATTTTGGCTCTATTAATCAAATTCATTTATTTTAAAAGATTTTAAAAGAATTTAGACAGTTTTTTAAGTTTAAAAAACCGCTACTAAAAAAGGATTCTTCTAATTGTCCAGTCTGCTTTAGAAAGCAAAAGTCGAGTCTTGTTTTGAATTACGTGGTATGAAACAAGAAACTACAAAAAATCAGCGAGGAGAACATACATTTTAAACTCAACCCATCATTAGAAATACTATCATTTTCAACATACAACAGATACATTTAATTCATCCATGGCTACACTGAAGTAAAGAAAATGGAAACAAAAGAGAGAGAACAGAAGAACAGTAAATGGGTGTTTGTAAACAAAGACAAATGAAAAGTGTAATCAAGGAAGCATATCCCCTCACTATTCATAATATCATATGCTTAAACACATCTGTTCTATCATAAATGTGCTAAAACCCAGAAAAATACACCTAAACAAACCCGTATTGCATGGAAAACGAAGCCTGATCATTTACAATACTTGCAACAACTGTGCCTGAAAGCAAGCTATAATGGATGGATTTGGCCGTTGCTCGTTTCTTCAGCAAAACCCGCAGAGGTAACTTCGGCAGAGTTCCATTCTCTTAACGGAGTCTAGACATCTGTTTAAGGGCAAATGGGAAAGATTGAAACAGATAAGACGATGGCTCACAAGAGTACTAGTAAAAACAAAGGGTTAGTTTCTGTTTAAAGGCATATTTGGGATTTAAAGGCATATTTGGGAATGAGTTTGCAAGTTCAGAAACGTATCGAATATATAAGTGATCTTAACCATTTCAAAATTAGTCTCGAATGTGTCTTAAAAGTACGTGAACCCTGGTGCATATCGGTGCATATGACTATGAAGTAAATGTTGCAAATGATCAAGATCATTAACCCCACCCCCACCAAAACAAAAACACGTGAAAGAAGCCATGGATGTAGGAAACAAAAAACTGGAGTACCTTGTGGATTAATTGCTTTACCTCAGATCGTAACTGAGATTCACAGTTCCAGTAATCATTGGACAGACTACAGAGAAGCCACATCCACCACAGCATGCCCATCTGAAGCTATTACAATACATCCACTGATTTCAGTCACCTGAAGATTACCCGTTTACTTGTTTATTAGACGTTATCCCGCCCCATTACCACGTGGTCGCTTTAAAGAAATGCCCCGGAGTCCATATGGTCCATACGTGCTTAATCCATACCCATTTAAACTGGGGTCTCCTGATGGAGGCTTCTGTAGTTGGGGATGTTTCTGTTGTTGAGCTGCCTTGCGCTCCCTGCGGGACTTTCTCTGTTTACGTGTTTTGTGCTCTGGAGCATGCTGCTGCTGGGTAGCATTTTGGTCTTGAAAAGGTTTTGCCGGCTGGGGATGCTCCTGCTCTCTATGTGGCTGCAGTGTTGACCTTGCATAGACTGAATTAGGGAAAGCCCTAAAATTAGGGCTTGATGGGTCACTTGGGTTTGCTGCTCTAAAATCAGCCGGTGGTAAAAAATTCTGACTGAACGGATGGTTTAAATTTGATGTTCCACTTGATTCCGGAACAGTAAAATCATTATAATTTGAAAGTGATCTATGAAACGAACTTACTTTCTTGTGTGTTTCATTGGACCTCCCAGGTACAAAATTGCTAATCTCAGTCGCATCTACCATCGTCGTCAACATTTCTACTGATTCTAATGATATACCAGTTAACCCATCATAAGATAGAATGCAAGCTAAGGCATGCATAGAGGCCCCAAGAACGGGAGGAAGAACTTTGTTTGGATGCTTTACCTGAAACACAATAAAAAGTCGTTACAATCATGCAAAAAAGGCAAGCAAGACTGAATGAGTAAAATTAAGCAACTCCTCGAAACCAAGAATAAGAGCCTATAACCACTTACTTTGAATAAGATTGCTGCAGATAATCGCTCTCTCAAGCAGTATAACTGAGCAATATCAAGTGCCTTTGACCAAAAGTATAACCAACGGTCAACAACCACAGTTACTGAGTTATCAGGGGAGGACATAATCATCTCTTCTGGTTGTTCATTTGATCTATTTTCTATATCCATTTTATCTTCAACAGTTTCAACTACACCAGCTTCATCGTTGCCATCGGTGTCATTGACAATATCACCTTTACCATTATCATTCTCCTTTGCAGGGGCAACAGCAATCTCCTTTGCAACCATTAATAATGGGAGAGGCCCGACAACAGTACAGTTTCTTATATGTGTACCACCATCCCCACGGGTTATCTCATCATAAACAATCAGAGGGCAATTATCTGTTAGCTTGTGTGACAGTTCAAAGTTAAGGGACTGTCGGTGCAAAAGAACTCTACCCCCCGAACCAGTTTCCACAACAGCTCGTTTTCCCTTTTTCTGAGGTGGAAGTAATCTTCCCACCATTGGATATAAACCAGCCACAAGGACAGCGTGGAGTATGCCAGGGTCACGAGCATTCAAGCTGCAAGTTGAAATATCCTCAGGTATAAAACCATTTTGAACTAGTTCCATTTCGAGTTGTCTCCGCATGCCAAAAAGCATAGACATAGTGCTCGGAGAGATATGGTAATTAGAACAGAAACGGGCCTCTTGACCCCTTCTTTTGGCATTTTTCCAGCAATTAAATGCAGCTACCACAGCCAGTTGATCACTATGCCCACCATACAAAGAAGCAAGCTCTGCTTTAGCCGCAGCAGCTTTTTTTCTTTCGCTTGGTAACATGGGAAGAGTGAAAGGGTCCTTGTAGTCAGAAGCACATGCCAGAGTTAGAGCAGGATCGAGGCAGTTCATCAATATAGCGAAAATAAGCATCTTGCTTGTTACTGGATGAACAGGCAAAGAACCTAATTTCTCCCCAAGCTCAGTCAGTTTCTCATCGAGTGACAAAGCCCCAATATCCTGAAGGACTAATATTGCATTACGGATAGTATCAAAAACTGGAGGGTCCAAAGTCTTCTGCAAGAAATCCTCTATCCTACAATTTGGATCAAGCAATTTCACCTGCAAAATAATTACAGAACAAAAACAATTAAACAACGATCCTACAATTAGGAATACCTTTAACAATAATAAACAAGAGATTCTTAATATTTCTTTTCTTTTTTTTTTTTTTTTTTTTTTTTTTTTTTTGGTAAGAAACTGAAATTCATGTGCTTTCATGAGAAAAATGATAGGAAACAATGGCATACAAAAAACAAGCCCAACAAAAGGGAATGTTAGAACTAGTCACTGAAATAGACTCAAGTCCAACAAGATCAAACTAATATCATAATTACAAAAAGGTTGAGTGACCGAAGCCCACAATGAAACTTTGACACCTCCCAAATCTCACTGCATGGCCTCTCTATTTCCCTAAAAATCCTACTATAATACTCGAGCCAAGTACCCAACAAAAATGGCAAAGAAGCTAGCATGCCACAAAACTTTGCCCTTCTCCTTCACCATAACATAACAATCTTAATTCGAAGTCAAACAATACCCAAATGACTGCAGACACCGTGCCCACAGATTGATATATTGAGAAAACTGAAAAACCCTATAATAAGTGATGGAGATCCTCTTCCTGACTCCTACAAAGAACAAACCACTGCAGGAACAACACCAAGGAGGAATGTCGTTAAAATTTTTTGTTTTACCTTTCTAGAGATTTTAACCTTTTAGAGTGAGGAGAAAGCAAAGGTTGTAAGGTGCGAAGGGAAGAAAAACAAATGAAAAGAAGGAAGTACACGAAAAATTCCTTGAAACATTAGGGGTCCAAAACCTAAAGTTTCTTCTCCCACAAATCATAAACTTACTGCAAAGAACAGAAAGAAGACTCACGACAGCTATCACCTCTCTCTCATGCAAGGAGATCAATGAAAACCAAAGATAATGATGAGGAGGGATCAAAGGAAGGTAAGATAGAAGCCACAAAATGCATTGCTCACTCGATATATGATATAATCACGAGAACAGCTCACAAAGAGGTTTATCACCCACCCAACAAACCCGCAAAAGTAAACACTAGACTCGTCCTCCACAAAACATCTAATACAAGGAGAAGAGGAGGGAAGATCAGAGGCAGTAACTTTCCTAAGGTTTTTACCAGGCCATTTAGCACAATTGACAACCACTCGCTCAAAAGGGCGTGAACCATGATTACTCATAATAACTTTGTGCCATACTCCATGAATAAATGTCACAACCATTTAGCCAGAAGGGCGTTGATGGAGACTAATGACATACAGTATTGCTTCTTTTATCGTCCATCTAAAACATAATTCCAAAGGAAAATGATAGCTTGCTACATAATCCACTGTTTTCATAATACTTTTTCCTTGGTTTCCTCACCATTCCCACCTCCACTCTTTTCACCACTACTCAGTCACATTCAGCTTTGGTACAATCATACATCAGAATAGCACACCAATAAACAGTTTAAAGCACAATTATGTTTTTAGAGAGAATGGTTATGTGATCTCAGTAAATATTACACGTGATAATAAAGAACTAGGCAAAAAACGCACCTGCAAACAAAGTTCCTCTATTGGCATTCTCTTAATTTCAGGAACTTGAAAATCAGGAAGAGAAGATGCACGAACTTTTGAATAGAGATGATAGCATATCCCAGGCTGGCAGCGACCTGCTCGTCCCTCACGCTGCTTGGCACTAGCCTTTGATATCCAAGATGATTGAAAAGTAGAAACATTCCTGTAAGGATCATAACTTTTTTCTTTCATCCATCCACTGTCTATCACATAAACCACATCATCAATGGTAATGGCTGTTTCAGCAATATTAGTGGACAGAATAATTTTGCGGCAACCGGAAGGTGGTCGTTTGAAAACCTTCTTTTGCTCTTTAGAAGGAACCATTGAATGAAGAGATATTATTAAAAATTTTGATGCATCCTTGAAGATAGGGTTGATTGAAAGTCTTTCCCGAGTCTTGCTGATATCATCCCATCCAGGAAGGAAAACAAGAATAGCTCCTTCTTTTGAATCAAGACATATTTTCCCTAACAGCAGGTCTATAAGAGCAACATCAACAGAATTAGAATTTTTTGCAAGATATTTACCAATCAATCGCTGTTCTTCCTTGGAGTTGGACATGGAACTTTCCAAATGTTTTCTGATTGCTTCAGCAGTTTCTTTATGTTCTCCTCGCTCAGCCATTTCCAACGCAGTCATGCCATCCTTGGCCTGTAATTCACACATCGCACCAAAAGATAGCAGCATGCAAACATCGGAAACTCTACCCTTTCCAGCAAGCACCATTAGAGGTGATAAGCCCGTCAAGGAATGCTGATAATTATAAATTTGAGAGGATCCCTCAGAAGCAACCAATTCTAGAAGGGGATCAAATTCTTCATTCAACCAAGCCAAGTGAATTGCTTCGTCCAAAGAAAGCTTGTCTTCTTCTGTTAGCTCAGTTTCTTCATCTGAAGCCCCCACCGTACTATCATCAAGGTGGTTCTCTTCCGAAGATTTCACTATAGACAGTACATCCTCAAGATACAAATTTTTTACCTGAATATTTCAATGTTAGAATATTGCCCTAAAATACATGAAGACACAAAACTACAAGATTTAAGTGGGAGGTTTACAGGAAACGTGAATCCAGGAACACTGATGATTGGACAGCCACCAAAATATTTTGAAAACCGTTCAGCATCAATGGTAGCACTCATTAGTATCTGTCAGGATATAAAACAAAACCATACATCTCAGTCATAATCAAATAACGAGCTAACCTAAATCTTCTATTTTTTCTTGTTTTCTGCAATTACAAGTATTGCTTCTATTAAAATATCTCATTAATAGAAGTATGAATAATTTGAATGGTATGAATAGTTGAACACAAAAATATCTCAAGTAAAAACCAAGAAAATAGAACTAACCAGCCGAAGATGAGGATATGTAGGAAGCAAGTCTCTGCAAACAAGTGAAAGAGAATTGACGGAAAATATCCAAAATTTTTAATGAAATAAGCAGGCTCAAAATGGAAAACTAAGGTGAAAGAACCCAAACTTCAGATTAACATACGCAATCCATCAAGGAACTCTCACTCAAAAGGAATCTAAATTATTAATCAAGGAAACATAGCATGTCTGAGAGAAACTCAATTGATGATTTTGCATTTAATGCAACAGTGAGAAGTTTCAATAATTAAATGTATCCAAGTATTGAAGAAATCAACGACTACTTTAAAATTCAGTTTAGCTTCTCGATGGAGTTTCTTATCAAAAGATTTACGTGACATAAGAATTGGTGCATTTTTGTTTGAAAACTCGTGGGACAATATGCAGGATAACTGACAGCAGTTTTGTTTTCAATGTGGAAAAAGAGACGAGTAATAAATAGCAGAGAGAACCAATGAAAGTGAAGTATACCTCAAAATTGCTAGAATGAAATCAGAGAAGCGATCCCTTTCATGAACTTCATCCTATAAACGTAGAAATAAGAATGAAGGAAAACTGAAAACAAAACTTGCGAGGAACATGTAATACTGCTAGATTAATTAATATTGAAGACAATACTGGAGGAAGTTCGTTTGTATCCTCCTCAAGATAAAAGAAAATTTGTTCTAGCAAGTCTCTTTTTTTCTTTTCTTTTTTTTTTTTTTTTTTTTTTCCTGTGATAAGGAATAGAGACGACCAGTTTAAAGATAGGATGTGAACTTGGACGGAGGCATGGAGAATGGTTAGCTCTAATGTCTCTTTTAAGTTTTTACACTTCCTTTTTAGAGAGTTTTTTATTCCATTTATTATCAACATTTGGATCACTTACATGTGAACTTTTGTATATATCGACTGGCCCTATCATTTGTGCAGCTTCTCCTTTTCTCAATTTCATAATATTAAATGGATGGCATTATGGGCAATAACGTATCTCCTTNTTTTTTTTTTTTTTTTTTTTTTTTTTTTTTTTTTTTTTTTTTTTCCTGTGATAAGGAATAGAGACGACCAGTTTAAAGATAGGATGTGAACTTGGACGGAGGCATGGAGAATGGTTAGCTCTAATGTCTCTTTTAAGTTTTTACACTTCCTTTTTAGAGAGTTTTTTATTCCATTTATTATCAACATTTGGATCACTTACATGTGAACTTTTGTATATATCGACTGGCCCTATCATTTGTGCAGCTTCTCCTTTTCTCAATTTCATAATATTAAATGGATGGCATTATGGGCAATAACGTATCTCCTTCCTTTGCAAATGGTTTTGGCATTTCAAGCATATTTGGAAGTGATATTGAAATGTTTAAAATTACTTTCGTGGTATTCAAAATCACTCAACAACATGATTTTAATCATTCAATATCATTTTCTATGGAATGAAATCACATTGATAAGTGTAAAATCAAACACTCAATTGATTTTGAATGATCAAAAGGCCTGTTTTCGAGTAATTTTGAACATGACAAAGGTGATTTGATCACTCCCAAACATGTCTTTCATGAAGAAAATGCTTTTTGAAGGAGCAACTAGGCTACAGACCAACACGGATGGCTCACAAAACTCCAAAACGAAGGAAAGATGGTTGTCAATCACCAAAAATAGCAAAAAATAAGGACATCTTCAACCAGACTTTAGATTTGGAAGTGGGCAAAAAGTTAAAGACTTTGGATGAACTAATTGTACCCTTTATGACTTTCCTTCATATAATCTACGCCATCTCAAGTTAAAAGAATGCATTGATTAAACATTGTTGAAATTTGAGATTGAAATTTGGTTGTGAGACAAAACTTGAATGATAGGGATATAGAAATCTGAAGTCCCTAATGAATTTTGTGAAGGCTGCTAAACCTTCTATGATTGAGATAGGATGGTTTGGACCCTCGCACCTTCAGGCTCCTCTTTAATATCTACAGAATTCAAGCTGAGAGAGAATTGCTTGATAAATCTGGTTTCAGATAAAAGGTGCATAAGAAAATCAAAGTCTTTCTTTGGTCACTTACTGACTTAAGCCTAAAAATCCTTAATAGAGTACAAAGCAGAAAGCCTCACTTTTCTCTGTCTCCTCAAGGTTGTTGCTTGTGTTATAAGGAGAAGACTCTGAGCCATCTCTTTTCTCCGTTGCTTGTGTTATAAGAAGTGGTCCTTTATTTTGCAGAAATTTGGCATCTACTGGTATCAACTAATTACTTCAGTGATTGGCTACCCGAAGACCTCTCAGGTTGGTGGCTTTTATGATAAATTTAGGGCATGTGTAGCCCGAACCTTTTGAAGCTTATTTGGTTAGAACAAAAATCAGAGTTCTCAATACAGCAGAAACATGGAAGGTCTTATTTTTCTTTGTGACTTGTATGGCATGCAGCCTCTAATTTGCAATTGAACTGTTATTGCAATACTTCTTGCACCTACAGTAGCTCTTTCCTCTAAGTTGTTTTCAGTTGTTTCTGTTGGCACAGAGCTCTCTCTTCCCTGGCCCTCCCCTAGGTTGCAATTCCTTCCCTTCATGAAATCTTTTGTTTCTTATCAAAATAATAATAATCTTGTAATGGCAGTTGGTTGGGAAAAAACCTCTCTCCAGACTCCAAAAGTACATTAGCTATGGATGCACCAAATTTTCCGGCGGTATACCCTACCAACCCAGAGCAACAAAACCACACGCAATGCCAAAAGAAAATGATAAAATCCAGAAGCGGAAATAGAAAACATACCACAATAATGTGAGTTAAGTCAGACACAACATTTTTCCTACTTTTTTCTGAAGCATCCATAGTTAATTTTCCCAACCCTTCAGAAATCAGCACCCTTAACAGAATACCATTTGTGCAGAGTACAATTGATGAGTGCCTGCCACCTTTACTTTCCAACCGTATCTTCCATTATAAAAAGAAAACGTCAGCTAATATAATGTCTATGAGAACAAAATTAAGCAAGATGTTATATAAATCCACATATATTTAAGAGGAGAATTCCAGAAGTGCCCCTGGCTAATAAGGAGTATCTGCTATAGCATAAATTCTCAATATAAGCTACAGAATAAGGAAAAAAAACATGATTTCAATCCAGCTGAACCCCAAACAACAGGTACATCCATGCATTTAGATCATACAAGCACCAAGAACAAAACGTTTGAAATGATAAGGTCCTATCCTATTTCCATCATGAACATCTTCCCAACATCGGTTACTTCACGATAATGAGGCCCACATTGAAACTCCAAAGGAGAATAAAACTCTATACTAGATAGCTATTGAGATATCTTTTTATGTAAACTACCAGCAGAAACAATACCTTGTATCCAACATCACTTCCAACATTTTCTCCCCTTTCATAGGAGATCCGCTCAGAAACTAAAACAGAAGAAGAGAACAATAAATTCAAAGAAAATGGAAGTAAGAATGGTTAATATAATAAACTAAGTTTAAAAAACTAATTATAGAAAGAAAAGAGATATCCAGAAAGGTAATAAATGGCGCAAACCTGATGTCGCAGATATTCGTCGAGGTTGAGTACAGATTATCTTACATGCCTCTCCCTTACCCCACATATAATCCAAAAGAAACTGAGGAACCTACACCATATTATCAAAAGAATTATATAGCACGCAACAAAAATAACTAAATCCCAAGCAATTTTACAACTTTCTGGAGGTCATTTCGTTAAAGAAAAACAGAATTGTGATGGGCGTCATATTTTTCCTCCTGCTATCCACATTCAAAATGCAAAGCAAAATAAGCAGCATATATATGAGCCAGCTGCTAATTTTCGGAAGACTGGATTTTGCTAAAGAATAAATTAATACCCACCCTAGGGTGGGTTATCAAGGACATAAAAAATCAAGCATCATGCAACTTATATACAGGAAAGACGGCTGAATATATTTATTAGAACAAAAGTCATTACATCCAGAACAGAGCATCAGGCAAGCAATGATGTATTCAGAGAAAATAAATAAAGAAATAGAAAACTAGAAATCATTAAAGAGCAGATTGAGTAACCTGCGTTGTCTTTCCACACCCAGTTTCGCCAGATATGAGAACGACCTGCATAAAGCAATGATCAGACAGTTATTGGAATAGAAATTGATGCATCAGTTGAGATAAGGAAGTTAGAAGACCGACCATTACTAACTTCCAAAGAACTACCTAAAAAATGCATAACAACAATAGAGTCCTTTTGGCAGTCTCAAAATGATTCATAAATTCGAATACCATGCAGAATAAATGTAAATTAAAAGCAACCTGGTGCGATTCAACTGTTGAAGTAATGACATCTTGAAAGGATGCAATTGGAAGCTTGGATCTATCTCCTGATATCTACAAGAAGAAATGTACCAACAGTTCGCTTCAGCTATTATGGTGTTAAAATGATAAACTTATAAACTTGGGGAGGGAGGACGATTAAGTTACTGCATTAACATATGAAATGACAATGCATTTCCTATATAAGAAAAACTAAAAGAGAGAGGGATGAAGGTACAGCATAAACCAGTAAACTTCATCACTTTTGTTCATGTACTCAAAGAAACCTTTTTCATATTTGCAATACTCTTCACTCTAGTTGTATATGATTCCACCTTCTTCATTATCTCTTCCTTGTTCATTGATGGCCTCCAGAAAATATCATCTTTCCTTCGACTTTGTTTATGGGCCTTTTTCTTGCATTTCCCAATTGTTTCCTTGCCCAACTCTCCATCATCGGGTGGGTATGAACTAAATAAATCGTCCAAAACACTTTTGGTTTTTTCAGAAAATTTCATGGTGTCCTTTTGCGGTTTGGATTTATATATAGAAACACGCCGTTGATCACCACGTCTACAAAAGAAGTTGAGAAAATGAGAATCCTAAGCAAAGGCCCGAGAAAAATTTCATTCCAAGAATATCTACATATATGACTACACATGACAATAAGCCTTCTAAACTCAGGGAAGACATCGCTAATTGAAACTTACCCATAACTCTTTGATGTCAAACCCATTTTCCTGCATTCTTCATGCACGAGAGCACGTTCACGCTTAGAAAGATCAGCTTCAAAAGTGAAAACTGCATGAAACATTCAAAAGCTAGCTAATTAAGCAGATAATGACAGACCCCAAAATTAGTACGTGGGAGAAAAATACTACGTGAGAAAAACAAATAATTATGAGATTGAAGACATGCGAGAATGATAGGGTACAGAGAAAGTGCTTTAGTTCCAATCAAGCAAGCAGGAATCTCCAACAACCATCCTTGTCATGTTACCTTTAACATCAATTACAACTTCACAGCTGAACAGGCAGAAAATCTCAGGTTCCTACCTACTAAGGCATAGATTATTGTTCTGCCATTGTGAAATATCGGCAAAAACATTTCGAAGTGAAAACAGAACCAATCCCGTTACTAACGAAGAATTAATAAGATAAGTCATGAGAAGCAAACAGCCCTGCCTTGAAAATCCCACATAACTTTTTAGAAGCGAAAAACAGAAACACATGAAAGAAGAAGCAATCAGCCATAGCCGAAAAGCACAAGACCCATTAAAGCAAATAACCATTTCTCCATTCCATTGGAAGATGGCAGAAAAACAATTGGATAAACTCCATCTTATTTTCATTTCATAATCTGGGTCATGGTTTCCAATTTACCTTCATCATTGGACAAGCAAAACCGCTCGAGTGCCTGAATAATTTCACTGTCCGCGTCTGCAAATGCCTTGGGTTTCGGCTTTTGCTCCCCCTTCTTCTGCTTCTTCTTCGCCATAGCTTTTGTATCTGTAGCTTCTTCCTTCCTCCAACTGGTTTCAGGAGCTTTTTTCTTCACCTATAAGAAACCTAAAAGAGAGAAGATACAGGAGACAGAAACAGCATTTGAAACAATTAGGCAGTGCCCTAAACTATGTACGGCGCTTGCTTTTCCCTCGGCTTTCATCGACGTATACCTTTCTTCCCTCTCTCCCCCTCTCTTTTCCTCTCTGTCTGAAATGGGCCACTGCTGAACTGATCACCGCACCGGGTTGCAGGCCCAAACATTTCGGAAGTGAAAAATAAAAATTATGTAATAATATATATATCATATATTTGAATTATTTTAAAATTTTAAACTTTTAATTTTTTTTACTACAAGAACACAAATTTTAGAATTTAAAACTCCATTAAACACAAAATTTTATTTTATTTTTTATAAATTAACTAATTTTTTAAAAACTTAAAATCTTCGTAGATTTATTAGACACGAACAAAAAAAACACAATGATTTAATAGATATAAAATATAACGTTCCGAGACCCTATTAAATATTTTTTAAGGTTTATGGACTAAACAACACACGAACTTAAAAGTCTAGCGGATTATAGTACGTGATTTTTCACCATAAATCCAACATATGTTTAATACATAATCCACCTCTAAAAATACCGCTCAGGTTTGAAACCAAACTTCTTAAAAGATAGATGAGTCGCTTTCGATGAGATCAAATGTAAATCCAACTTTCATTTGCTCATTCAATTTCAAACGCTTCATCGAACAAATGCGTAAATGTATTCATCCCAGCGTAAACACAATGTTTGTAGATCCAAAAGAAGCATTGAGAATCCCTTTCATTGGTTAAGGTAATGTTCTCCACAATATACATCAAGCACCACTCTTCTCACATTACTAATCAACAACATTGTTCCTCTCTTAATTAAGCAACGCTGAAGGAAGCGGCTGCACCCTCCACAAACTTCCTTGCTCCTTTAAACCACCTCTTGTCTCCTGCTTGTGCCTTGCAGATGTAAAGCTTTCCATCCTTCACAGCTGCTGTGATCAGCTGGTGCTTCCCTCCCTCATCTCCATCAGCTGTTCTTGTCAACACTGACAAGAAGTAGTATGGTTTTCCTCCTACTTCCAACTCCAAGCTCTCCAATACGTTCGCCGTTGCCACCGCATCCGGGTCGAATCCACCCTGATCAATTACATTTTAACACGTCAACTCGGGTCGAGGATGGCCTTAGTGGTAAGTGTTTGAGATGTTCAGAGATATTGAATTCATAGTCTAAAATGGGTATTTGTTGAGTTTGTATCAGTGGCAATGACAATGCATCATTTATTTTGTCGTCAAATTACCTCAGAAGCAGTCTTTCCAAAGTAGGCTTGTTTCCCCAGCAAATAGTCAACCTGCAAAGGTCAAGTTAAAGCTCATCAATTGAATCTTGTAACGATTCGACTACGGTTGGTTTGAAGATGTAACCGCTCAAGTCTACTGTTAGTAGATATCATCTGTTTTGGCCTATTACGTATCTTCATCAACCTCACGATTTTAAAACGCGTCTGTTAGGGAGAGGTTTCCCCACACCCTTATAAGGAATATTTCATTCACCTGTCCAACTGAGGAGGGATCTCGCAATCCACCCCTCTTGAGAGCCAGCGTCCTCGCTGGCACACTGCTCGATGTTTGGCTTTGATACCATCTGTAACCGCCCAAGTCCACCGCCAGTAGATATTGTTCATTATAGCCCATTACATTTAGACGTCAACCTCGCAGTTTTAGAACATGTCTTCTAGGGAAAGGTTTCCACACCCTTATAAGAAATGTTTCGTTCCCCTCTCCAACCATGGAATTACAAGTAAGTTTGAATGCAGAGGAGAGTATTACCTGAGAAAGGAATTCTTGAGGGGAGCCAAAGTCTTTAATGGATTTCTTGTCAGTTGGATTGATAATGACACTCACATTGCTGTTGGCATCAAAGTTGTCTTCATATCGAAGTACTTGCCCTGGGAATTCCCTTTCTTTGCTTGGATTCCACTTGGAAGGAACTGAAAGCTTGAATCCATCTCCATTGTATGGCAAGTAGTCTGTGTTGCTCTTTGGCTTTCCAAACACATTAGCTGCAATTTTTAATTTCATGAAAACAATCGAAGGATCATCAAAAAGAGTTGCTCAAACTTCAGTGGCATGAATTTGCAGTGTTTAAGGGTAAGAATCCATGTGGATTTCAGCATACTAAACTACAGAAATCAAGAACAGATCACTAAATCACATTCTCAACGGGGATCTCTCGAAAGTTTCAAAGCATCCATGACAAATTGGAATCAAAATCCCTAAAGCGCATCAGACAATTTACTAGGGAAAATGCTTAGGTCTATTCAATTCCTAGGGTTTCATGGTCATTGCAGCAGAGAATGAGATTATAACTGTAAATTTGTTAAAATTCTGAAGCGGACGATTTAAAGTACCAGCTTCTCCATAGGCAGCATCAGCGGGAGAAACCTTAGAGCCAAGAGCGGCAGCACCGATGAGGACAGTGAGAGCCAAGCGGCGAGACATAGCGCCGCCATCCTCCTCCAGAGTGGGCTGCTGCTGCTTCTGGGCACGGCAGACGAGTAGCTGCGCAGGCTTGATTGGCGCCACCTGGCGAGGGGAAGAAGAGGATCTGGCGGCGGCGTTGAGAGCGTGGTGATGAAGGAAACAAGAGGTGGAAGCCATTGTTGGAGGGTGCAAGTGAGAATGGGAATGGAAGAGAGTGTAGAATGTAAGGTGGATTTTTGTGTTGTTGGTGTTATGGTGAGTATTTGTGTGTGTGGAGGAAAATGGATTGGGGAAGATGAAGAACACGAAGAAGGGATCAGATTATTGATTTTTGGATAAGGCTTTTCAGCTTCTGATTGGTGCCAACTCCACATTTTGCGGCACAGTCAGCAATGTCTCACACTCTGCTCTTCTCCCATTGTTTTGTCCTCAAATATACCAATCATTTAATATATATATTCTTTTGAAAAAAATATTTATTTCAAATAATTTTTTAATATAATTTTTATTAAAACTGACTCCTATGCTTTAAAATGACTATTGATGTTTTATCCCGAACCTATGCTCGAGTTAATAAGTTATTTATTGAATATTATACAAATATGTCAATCGTCTTCGCATACTTTTAACTCTGTTAAAACATTATGCACCAGCAACAATAGCTAGATACTCAAATTAAATAAAAATTAGACTAATATTTACAACAGAAATCACCCGAAAAGTATGAACTTAAATTTTATTTTAACATAATAAAAAAAAAAGTTCAGTAATAGAAATAAAAAAAGATAGTAATTTAAATAATTATCTATTATCTGTCTCGTGATTCACATGTGTATATAATTAAAAAGAAAAAGCATATATTTGAACAAAAAAAAATTTGTCATAATTTAATTATTCATCATGGAAAAGACAAAAAAGCCCCCCACCACGAGGTCAAGCAAATGATATCCAATAATATTTAATTTAAATTTTATTTTAAACTTAAGATCGGCTATTATATATCAGACATTTTTTTCTCCATTTAATATAGGAAAAAATTTCAGAAATTATCATTTGAAAAAAAAAACATTTCAAAAAGGACAAAAAATTAGCTGCCCAATGAAATGGAAACACGTGTTACAAATAATATAAAAAATCTTATCTACATAGTTGGACAGAGTTTTTTTTTTTTTTTTTATAATAATAATTATTATTATTTAATTATTTTGTGATTATTATTATTTGTACCGTTCAACAGAGTAGGTGTTTTATTCAGTAGGAAATAATTATTTTTTGAATTTTTAAATGGAGAACGATAAAATAGAAATAATTAGTAATTATCAATTTTCACACCTTCACCCCTTCCCATATTAAATTCTAACAATAATAAATAATTCAATTATTTATAATAATCATAAATAATTTTAACCACGATAATTTCGAATATTAAATTGGTTAAAAATAATAATGGACACTTCGAAAATAATAAAATTAATTGAAATACAGTTGTATTTTATATTTTTAAATATGCGTCCGGTAAAAAATTTAAAAATTGAACCATAAAATTAATATATTTTTTTATCTAACAAAAATAAAATGAATTTATAATATAAAATACTATATTTGCTTTACCTATTAAAATTTAAAATTTAAATTTGGATATAATGAAAATATAAAAATGTTAGACTATTTGAAACACGTGAAAATCAACTCTTGACAATATATATAGCAAGGAATCAAAAGTATAAAACAAACTTTAAATTATCTACCAAAAATAACTCGGGAGCCGGAGAATAATTTTGTTTTTAATTTTAAAAAGTCGGGATTGTTTTATAATCTCACTATAATGTTCATCTCATATTAACTTTTAGCCAAAAAGTAAACGGGACAAGAAGATTTGAAAACCGGACCTATTTGTATACACTTATATCTTATTTAAATTCTCATGTTATTTCTATAAAATTAAAAAAGAAAGTAAAAGGAAAAAATATAGGATTTTGTAAGTTTGAGGATTGAAAAGGATACTTGTTAAATAAAGAACCCTAATTTAGACTTTTTGTATCAAATTTTAAAAGTTGTGACACTAGAACCACGCCATTGGCTACTGAATCAGATGGAAAAGAGACGGATCGTTCAAAATTCTGAAGAACACGGGCCTTGAAGTTAGCAGGTGAGCTCATTACTTTACAATGAAAACCACAGCTACCCAGAAGGGATTCGCGTTTGGCGTCCGTTAAAATGCAACGACTGAGAAAGTTGAAAAGAGGGTGAAAAAGGGGAAAAATTCAATTCGACCCACTTGATGAACAGAAACAAACAAGAAAAAAAAAAAAAGAGAGGGAATTTTGCATCTGGGTTAGGTGGTGGCCCCTTTATAATTTCAGTATGTCAGCTTCGTCACGCCATTTCTCTGTGATATTTTAGAATCCCATGAACTCTTCCCTTCTTTATCCCGTTTTTCTGCAGTTCTGAACGGAAATTTTAAGAACCCATTTTCAGTTGTCTGTTCGGTTTCTTCTTCTCCAATCTATTCCTTGAAGACCCATTAGTCCCCTGCGCCTGGTTTGTTCTCTGGAGTTCTATTTTTGGGTTTGTTTTTTCGATCTTCTGCTTGTTTTGCGTTTCTCTTTCAGCGGATTATGTGTTTTATTATGCTTGTTTGATGCTTGAATGAGGTTGAATGCTGCTAGTTCTGCTTGATTTTCTGGGTTGTTGGAGTTTTGCTCCCTTACTTCTGCTCTAATCTTACTAGACGACCTACTTATCCCTTACATCTGCTTCATTTTTCTCTTTACAAACTCTATCTTGTATAACTGCGGCTGAATTTCTGGTTGAATCTGGAGTTTATAATGCTTTACTGAGGTTTTTCTCTTGTTTTTGCTTGTATCTGGGTTGAAACGTTGGATCACTTTTGCTTTTGAGTTGAAAGTTTTGGTAAAAGTTTGTGTTCCTTCCTATTTTATGACCATTTGGCCTTTTGGTTTCCTTATGCTTCTTGGTCAGTTTTGATCAGCTGTTTTGTATTATAAAAGATTGTTGGTGCTTTTGAATGTCTGTTGTTGAATCATCAGAATTCAAAAACTTTTACTAAGCTTTAGTTTGATGATTAGCTTGGACTAGAGAAATTAACTGTAATAGTTTTCTCCCATTGAGGGCTTTCTTCATCCCCTTGAGTTCGTAACTATAACGGCCCACGCCCACCGCTAGTAGATATTGTCCTCTTTAGACTTTCCCTTTCGAGTTTTCCCTCAAAAATTTTTAAAGTTGTATGATTGTTATCGAAAGATCTCCTATCAAAGTTGCTATTTAGAGATCTTAATTGTAGAAGATGCTCCTAAAATGTGATCCTGGAGCTTATACATAGATTTGCTTCTTTACCCATATGATTACTGTAGTTTTCATGTTATTATATAACTAACCATCTTCTTGGTGAACAACCTAGTCCTGAACTGTGGCTCCCTTTTTTTTGTTATTTCTTTTCTGAAGCACAAGAACTATGTCTGAGAGGATAACTGCTGAGGAGATTCTTAGTAATATCTCTGAAGTTCTTGCTGAACATGGCCAAAAGGCGAAATCAGTATCGTTTTTCGGGGAAGATAGTAAATCGAGTTCAGTGACTGGTCAGATCAAGCGGATATTCGGACGCCAAAAGCCCGTTTACCATATTCTTGGGGGTGGAAAATGTATCTCCTTGTTTAACTATTCTTAGTATTTTACATCCTCTATAATCTTCTTTTTCATGTCATAAATCATATTATTTCATTTTGATTTGTAGCTGCTGATGTGCTGCTATGGAGGAACAAGAAAATCTCAGCTAGTGTTTTGACTGGTGCAACTATTATATGGGTGTTGTTTGAATGGCTTAATTACCACTTCTTGACTCTGCTTTGCTTTGCTTTGGTTCTTGGTATGTTGGCTCAGTTCATATGGACAAGTGCCTCAGGATATATGAGCAGGTGATTGAAAAATAGATATCTATGCCTTTGTTTTACGTTGATTTTGATGGGTTTTCTGGTTTAATGAATGTAGATGCAGTCTTTAACATATATTTGGTGCTTTCGCAGATCATCGTCGTCGTCGAAAGTTCCTCGAATTGTTCTTCCTGATGAACTATTTGTCAATATTGCTGTCTCATTTGGTGCTGAGGTTAACCGAGCTCTGGGTGTTCTCCAAGATATTGCTTGTGAAGGAAATTTCAAACACTTACTTGTGGTATGATAATATATTCTAGTTGTTTCTTTGATATAAGTGCTTAGGAAACCTGTTTAGATTTTGTGGAAGATGGCTTCTTTTATTAATGTGAATATATTTGCAGGCCGTAGTAAGCTTGTGGGCTGGTGCTGTGATCAGTAGCTGGTGCAATTTCATTACTGTCTTGTATATTGGTAAGTTCTTACAGATTCTGCATTTCTAAACATTTACATGTTTGATTTCTTTGATGATCCATGTCTATATTATTTAGATACAAGTGTTTTGAGTTTTCTTGCTTTTTTGTTGGAGGGGCTTGGTTTATAGGATCTATACCGCTAACAAATATTATCTTATTTGGGCTTCCTTCAAGATTTTTAAAATGCGTTTGTTAGGGAGAGGTTTCCACACCACACTCTTATAAATAATGTGTTGTTCCCCTCTCCGAAAAGGAAAGTCCAAAGAGGACAATATCTGTTTGCGGTGGAGTTGGGTTGTTAGAGGATGGAAACTTTTTGATAGACCAACCATAGGAGATCCTATGTTCTTAGGAAAATATAAAATCATCCATTTTCACCATTAGCATGTTTCAAATATGTTCAGGTTTCGTTGCTGCCCATACGCTTCCAATTCTGTACGAGAAATATGAAGATGAAGTTGATACCTTTGCATACAAGGTTATCGACCAACTCCGCGGTCAGTATCAAAAGCTCGATTCCAGTGTGCTTAGCAAGATCCCTAAAGGATCGTTCAAGGGAAAGAAGTATGAATAGATCATTTTGAACTCAGCAAACAAAATACCTAAACCATCTCTAGTTGTTGAAGGAGTTGGTTGTGTATCATAAGAATGGGAAAATATTATCCCTTTCAGCTAAGTAGTTGTAGGCTAAGAAGTTTGTATTTGCCATTCAGCTGAACCAGAAGCCATCTTTGACTGATTTTTGCAGCCATTGGCTTAAATATTAGAACTGCTTCAGATGCATATCCTTTTAACTTCAGCATATGGAATGCTGTTTGAAGCTTCCTTTGCCCAAAAGGAAGATTTATATTTTAACCATTTCCGATGCCTTTTTCCCGATTCAACATCAAGATTAAGAGGAAAAAAAGGCTAACATGTACATAACTTGACTCGTTAAAACATTATAATCTTGATAAAAAAAAATTTAAGAGATTAAAATTTCACATAGAAATCGCAAAAAGAAAACGAAACAAAATAAGGATTAAAAGAAAGGTTAAAGAATAAAAGGGCATTCTAGCAAATGCAAAAAATTGGAAATGACAGATTAATTGGAACAAAGCACAAAATTAAATAGCTCAGGGGCTCAAAAGCCAAGGAATTGATCTCAGGCTGACAGTAAGACATTGGAGCAAATGCACTAAAACCACCATGCATTAATGTTGACATCACTTTGAGCACATCCTCTTTCAATCACCCCATAAATATTATTGATAAATGACAGAAGGTTAGTTAATTGCCTATATTAATGTTGAGAACTGAAAGACCTCACTCACAGGACTTATTTTTCTTCTTCCCCTTCAGAGTTCCGGACTCATCGATTTCAACTTTGCTTCTGTACAACTTATGAGAACTGTCAGTCACTTTTTTAAAGCCTTATTCTTTGTGGGAATCTTTCAAGAAATTCCAGGCTAACAATGCGGCCCCAATGGCAGGCTCCACCTGGTTTTGGTTCAAGAAAAATATGCATTTTAATGAAAGCATGGCACAAAACATAGACACATGTAGGGCTGTTTCGTACATCTGAAATCACTGTTCATATGAAAAATAATTTTTGTTGATTTAAAAGTGAAGTCTGTTCATGTAAGGATTTAAGAACAATAACTGAACATATTTTTCATTGAATATTTTTCACAACAGCTCTCAAACATCACCATGGATATCATAAGGTAAAAACCATGCTTACCTTAGGCCAGATGGGAACTACCCCAGGGTAGTCCTTGGAAATGCAATTTACAACTTCTTGCGCTATACCCCATCCCTTATTTCCTTTAAGAACTCCACCAACCATGACGAGGGGAAAAGAATCCTTTCCATCTGCAATGTTAATATGCTAACCATGACAGCCGAGGCAAAACATTGGTCAAAAAATTCAAAAAGAAAACCAGGCAAAACTTTGGCTACAGAATTCAAAAAGGAAACTATCATATTATTGAACGCTCATTTGCCTGCCTGGTTCCCTTCCTTTAGAAATCCTAATTCCAGCTAATATTTTAGCATGATCAGTAGCATTGTCACAAACCCCTCAAATAAAAAATAGGCATGGAACAGCTCCCAATTTTCTTAGGGACATAGATAGAGATTATTCACGATTAATTTTGTTGCACATTCAAGTGCAGATCCAAAGAGAAGTAAACTGAGGAGACGTACTTGATCTCAAAGCTAGAACATAGTGTAAAATACAGTCTCCCGAAGAAGGAAAGAAATCAAGGGAGGTTTTATAGCAAAAGTGCTTCCAACTTCGAGGTTAGTTTCAACATTCAGAGAAGCGGGGCCAGGAGAATCAAGTTTATTAACTACGACCAAAGATTTTCACTATTGCAGTACCTGAACCACACAATCTAAGTCTTTGAACAACAGCAGTCACGCTTAAAGCCAACTCCTTGACTGAATGTTGCAAGATGTTGTTTGCAACTTCATCTCCTGCTTCTGCACACGACACGACAACAGGAACAAGTGCAGCAATGCGAGCCCAAGTTGGATCTGCGTAGGTCCACCTAATTTTCAATAACCAAAAACAGATGCGATCCATTCCTAATTAATCATCCATGAGACTGTACTTTCATACCATTGCAACATATGAATTGGGGTACAATTGTCAGAAACTGCACTGGAAACAACTACTTTTCTCGTTGTTAGATAAAGCAAGTTTCTGGTATGTTGAAATGTTAATTCTCTTTCATCATCATTTAAAAAGTTGTACAGCTGCTGCAAGTAAATCAGAGCAGCCTTCACAACAATACAGATTACTGCATTGATGATAATAATAAAAACGACAAAAGAAAGCCTCGGCAAGACTTCAGTCCACACACACATATATGAAAGATTGAATATACATCATTTAAAAGAATTATTTCCTTCTTATGCTTGAAAGATATTTTATTTTCTAATTTGTTTAATTTATATTGTCTGCGAACCACATCAAATAATATAAACAATGAGATAATGAAAATTGACCTGTAATGTCAATTACCAAGAGTACATACCCAATGAGTTCATCAGCAGAAGAAAGACCAAGAGTATGAAGAATGCTATTTGTGAGCTTTGTTTGAGGACCACGACCATCATGTGCTCTTATAATTGCGGTTAAAGCCTGCGCTGATATGCCATACCCACTGAAATTACAAGAAGCATCACCTTCAATGAAAAGTGGCAAAAGAAAATAAAATTGTGTATGTCATGCACAATAGTCTCATAATTTACTATTATAGATCGGCATACAATGCAGTAATATAATTTTGAACGCAAACAATTAAATATGCAGAGTGCAAAGATCACAAAAAATGTTTCTTGTTGTAAACATGAATAAATGATTAAATATACCCTAATCTATCAACATTTATTCAATACGGTAATCTATCAACTTAAGTATTTGCATATCGTGGCTGCTGTGTTTAAATCCTTTAATGTCATTTCTTCTCCATATGTTAACTTTCATGCCCGCAAATGAAGAGTGTTAAACAACAAGAATAATGATCAAACTTGAAACTATCAGTTTAGATTACAGGATTTAGTAGTGATAAAAGTGCCCATGGGGGAAAGGCTAGTTATGCCAAGTATAGAGATGTTGAACGTTGAACTTCTCCAAAAAAAAAATTCCTTGAAGCATTATCCACAATAAAGCAAGACCTCAAATTTAAGAACAAACCATTTTTTCCACTAGATAACTCAGCAAGTCCCAATATGGCTAGTTGATACACAAACTCAAGCTAAAGTATTACATCATTTAGAAGATCCCTGTAACAAAGAAAAAATGAGGAGAGAAATGCAGCATTTGAACTTTTTACTCTGAGAGGAACCGGTAGGAACTAGAAATACAAGAGAAAAATATAGGATGATAGTTATCCCTCTCCCACACTTTACCCAAACAATAACCTACCTTACTACCTCCCTCTTCATTATTTAGTTTGGAAGTTTTTTAATAAAATTTCTTTCAACAAAATCACAGCATCTAATTGACAACATACTACGGAAGCAAAAGAGAACTATTAATTTGATTAGAGATTTACAAGGAACTTGCTTAAACATTGATAGGCATGGTCTTCGTGGCTAAATATATAAAATTAATGAGAACGATGCTAAGATAGTTAAAAATAAAGTTCATCACTCAATTATTCACCAGCAAGGAATAATGGCACAAGTTTTTTGGGAAACAAATAAGATGATCCTCATACAATCAGTCATACTCCAATTTAACAGTGTGCGTCCATGTGAGGGAGTGAGAGAAAGAGACCTTCCCCAATCACCTAAGATTGGTCCTGCACCAGCTGCTCGAGCTTCTCTTCCGTCATCTGTAAATCCATAAGCAATAGTCCCAGTGCCAGCAATTAGAACACAACCACGAAGCCTTCCCATGGTACCGCTTGCAAGAGCAGCCAAAGCATCATTTCGAACATAGAGTTTGACATGGCTAGGAAATATATCCCTGAGCAAATTAAAAAAAAAAAAAACATATCAGAAGTGTATTAAAGCATATTTTGTCCAGAGATATGAGGTTCTGATTTCATATGTAATAGAACAAAATTGACAGTGAAAGGAATAGCAGCTTGGAGCCTTGGAATTGATTTGAGACCTAACTCAGATCGTGATGTTCATTAAATTGAAGGATTCAGCTACAAGTACACCACTAAGGGATATTGTAATATCAGCTAGAATAAGCCAATTGATTAGAAAGAGCACTAGCCATCCTAAGATTCATATAAAACAACGAGAAAATAAAATGATCCGTCACATAAACCCAAAGACAGAAGAATGTAGTTTCTTAGAAACAGCCAAGAATCCTTCATGGCCCATACCTGAGCCAATTCAAAATCCTTTGCTGATCCGTTGGATGGTTTACACCCGAAAGAGATAAACAAACAGCTCGAACTGCTGACCGATTGGAACATGATTTTGAAAGGGCTTCAGCCATAACTTGCTCCAACGTTTCCCTTGCAGCAGTTTCTGAAACAAAGAGGCAAATATTACACCAATGACCTATCAGAGCTAGAATCTCATATTAAATACTTAGAAACCAACCAGTCCTTTTTCCATACCGATACAAAATAAGAGCTTATGGTCTAACTTTCAATATCTTTGTTTTTGAAAATATTATCAAATGGCACAACAAACCAGTAAAGCCTGTCACAAAACAATTCATAGTTTTCGCCTCTGAAAAGAAGATGATTAGGTTTGGAAAGTTGCAGTTGGTCTATGCTTCCGCTGCAACACTCAAGCATCCATTGCATTTCATAGAAATAATTCAAACAATAAATTAACTTCAGTAGGATTTCCAAATGGTGATTGAATTTAATGGACTTCGGACACTTTTGAGGCGAAACTCTAAACTTTAGCCTCGAGACTTACGCCTCTAGTCCGGGAAGAACAATGCGAGACATGCGCAGCACCAATCGAGATTCGTAAAAGGACAAGCACAGAGAGAGAGAGAGTACCGCCAACGCTGTTATGGTTGGAGCAGCCGGCTTCCACTCGAGCAAGAAGAGGAATAGGATCAGGAAACTGAAGAGACTGAGGTGGTAGAAACGGAACACAAACGCAGATTGTGGAGGTTGTTCCTCCATCAATTCCAAGAATCACGTCTCCAACTCCTCCTCCTTCTGCTCCGCCGGACATTTCTCGCTCGAATTCCCAGATTTCGCCATTCCGATGTTTCTTCGTCATCTGGAATCTCGTTGATCAGAATCCGGCGCAATAACCTCGATCCTTTTGCCTTAACAGTCTCCTCTCAATTCCACTCAACCCGCCACAAAAACGAAACCAGCACTCCAGCACTCTCCTCAGGCAGAAATACTCGGAAACTTAGAGAAAGAAGAAGAAGAAGATTGATGGTAAATTACAGAGAATACGAACCGAATTATTTGCTGTTAATTGTCCACTGGATAATCTTCCAATTCATTGATTTACGATCGATGAAACGCATTTCCACAGCCGAATTTATTCCTTTCCTTTCCATCTTTCCATGATAAAAACGAATATTAATTATTCTACATACAAGAAATTACATCCAAATTTTAATTTTGTTATTAGAAAAGAAAAAAAAAAAAAAACTCAGATTCTTTTATTTCTAGTAAAGGTTTTAAAACTATTATCTAAATTACAATAATTATCAACATATTAAATACGTTACAAGTTGATTATAACAAATGGTGCATGAGTTGTTTAGATAAATAAATTGAGAAATGGTATAAAGCTATAAAATAAATTAAAGTTTAAAAATATATAAAATGTAAACCAAGATAATATTTAAAATAATTAATTTTTTATTAGAATAGTGAAGTGGTGGGATGCAATATTTATACAATATTTTAGAAGTCAACGAGATTAAAATGTCAACGATCCTAAATCCTATTTAATAAAGCTTTAGGATCAAAGGGGAACGAAGAAAGAAGGAAAAGAAGAACAACAACCAGCAGCTCCGCCCTAACCTCCGGCCCTCGTAGACAGGTACGGCGGCTCCACTGCCGTCCGGTGAAGACGTGGTAGTTGATTACTGGGCCAAGTGTCAATGGCGTCAACTAACAGCTGCTCTGATTTCTCCCTCTTGCAAAAGGTAACAAAATTGTAATTCCCCTTTTTGCAAAATTTTACAATATTATTATTATTTTTTAGGTTAAATTATAAATTTTATTCTCTTTTAAATTTTCATGATTTTTGATAAAAATTTAAACATATGTAACAATTTTAATTATCTGATCGATTTTTTTATTATGGATTATACTTATATTTTAGTGACAAAAGTTAAATTAATAAAAAAAAAAATCATAATTTTATCCTCCACTTATTTTTTTAAAATATAGGCTAAATTTTGTATTTTGTCTAAAAAAATAACCATAAACTTTTATTAAATAGTTTTACTAGACCATCTATCAATATCTCATGAATTATTTTTAAATTTTTTAATATTATTTTTGAAATTGAAGCATTTTTAAAAATGTGGTAAATAAATATATTTTTTAATTTTTTGAAAAAATTTAAAGGTATTTTTTAAGGTTTTAAAATATTTTTGAGGTTTTCAATTTTTTTTAAAAAAATTTTAATTTTGTTCATAGTTGATTTAAAAAAATTAAAGTTGTTTTAAAAATTTATGAGTATTTTTGTTAGAGTATTATTTTTTTTTAAAAGAATAAAAAAGTAATTTAATCTTAAAATTCAAAATTCCGGAGCATTTTAATATTGAAATTCAGGTAGGGGCGGAGTTCATTGGAACATACATAATGCTATTCTCCGCAGCGGCGGCACCCATTCTGAACGAGAAATATCAGGCGGCGGAGAACGGCCTGATGACGAGTGCGATATGCGCAGGACTCGCGGTGATGGCCGTAATCCTCTCAATCGGTCACATCTCCGGCGCTCACTTGAATCCCTCCGTCACTGTAGCCTTCGCCGCTCTCCGTCACTTTCCATGGCTTCACGTCCCGCTCTATATCATCGCTCAGATTTCCGGATCTATTTCCGCCGCTTTCAGCCTCAAGATCGTCTTCCGTCCGTTCATGTCCGGCGGCGCCACCGTGCCCTCCGTCGGCACCGGTCAGGCCCTCGTGATCGAGTTCATCGTCACATTCTTCCTCATGTTCGTCATTGTTGCTGTCGCCACTGATACCAGAGCGGTACTGAATCGATTTGCTCTCTGAAATTTTTCTTGTTTGTTCTGAAATCGATAGGTTGAATCTCGATTTAGAGATCAGAGAAGGCGTTTCCGTCAGCGATTAACTTCGATTGATTTGATTAGGTCGGGGAATTGGCCGGAATTGCAATCGGAGGCATGGTAATGCTCAACATTCTCGTCGCCGGGTAGTTCTCAATTTTAGAAAATCACTCTGTAGTTTTTTTAAAAAAACATTAAAGAGATTATGAAAATTTCCACATAAAAAAAAAACTGCAGGCGCGCAACCGGCGGTTCGATGAACCCGGCGAGGACCTTAGGCCCAGCCATCGCTACAGAAAATTTCAAAGGTCTATGGATATACATAGTAGCACCCACAGCCGGAGCAGTGGCTGGGGCAGCCGGCTACACAGCCGTGAAGCTCCGGCAAGACACGGCAGCGGAATCAGCGCGGCAAGATGAAGGAAGCCTCAGCCGACGGGGAGAAAGCTCGCAAGCGGTGGTCCCGTCGAGATCCAGTGGAAACTCGGCATGGAAGCTGGACGGCGGTTCGTGGCTGTGTTTAGGCGGAGAGTGCAGGAAGGAGTGCTCGGAATTGGAGCATTTGAATGTGATTCTGTGTTACAAGGAAGCTAATCAGATCGCAGAATTTCTGAGTAAGAACGAAGCAGACGACGAGGGTTTGGTATAAGGTTGGGTTTTATATTTAATCTATACCCTAATGTTTATCTAAGATTGCGACTTTGTTATTTATTAAATCAAACATGTAACATTGAGAAATAAGTAAAGAATATTTTTCCTAATAATGGAAATCCCACATTTTTCTTACCCAAAATAGGGTATGGAATTCCAACACCTTATAAAGTGGGGAATAAATTCACATGTGAAAAATTTCCAATAACCCTTCAAGACCTCCAACTAACCCTAGTGCTTCGAGTCATTGCCATCCCCAATTTTGGTAATAAATTCTCGTTTTGCACATGCCCATTTGCTTAGAACTTAAACGTGTTGATATTTTTTGACAGTTTAAAGGTCTCTTATTGCCTAAAACCATAAACAGCTCTGTTTTCCTCTCTTTACATATCATTTTTAGAGGTCTTATTGGGACAGAAAACAAAGAAAAAAATGGTTAAGGGAATTGGCATTTGGCAAATGGGAAGGGAGTTCAGTTTGGAGCTTTGTCTTTGGCCATCTTCTTCTGCTTCAGAACCAACCTTCCAATTCTCTGCAATTCCCATGTGAGAGACCCCGTTTTTCTTCAGCTTCTTCTTCTTGTTTTTTTGATAACATTCATGGAAACTGGATTTTGGGTTTTCGTTTATGGGTGTAGGATGGCTATGCCATTGAATCATCAGAAGCAGATCATGGTTTTCAATAATGGAACAGCTTCAGTCTGTGACTTCACTGAACTCCAGGTACATCCTTATTTCTTTTTCTCTACAACTTTTGTTTTCATATGATTCCCAGATGAACTAAATTGGATACAATGTTGCAGGTACGAGCCATATTAGGGATAGCAAGCCAAGAGAGGAATAGCAGCAAGAGCCAATGGTGGAGCAACCCAGAACGGTTGAGTCTGCAAATGCCCAATGGGAATGCAGGTTTCTCCATTAAGAAATCTCTTCAGCGATTCCTACAAAGGAGAAACACCAGAAGAATTCGATCCATGTCTCCATATCACAAACAATGTACCTAATTCAAAGTTNATGCCTCCCAACCTCATCAAACAATCAATCAATCAAAGAATTCTCATTTGCAATTGCAATCTGCTAACATTCTTATATTGTTGAATGTAAATGAGCAAAAACAAACCATAGGATAACAACTAGAATTCATTTCGAGCGACTGAATCAAAATACAACAGCCACATTAGAGGGCAATTATCTATCAAGACATGAGAATGTGATATATTTCTGGGGGAGGGGGCGGGGGCGGGGGCTGGGGCGGGATGTTTGGCAGGAAAGAAAACAATCTGTAGAATGTGAATAAGAGAGTAAAATCAACGGTCCAACCATTATTCCACCAAGCATTATCTTCCTAAAGACCAGTCCATTAAAAATGTAAAGACTGGGAATGCTAAAATTTAGTCACCAAGTAAGGAGGCATCATACATTTCTAATCCAGTTGAGAGAGACCACTGAGAGAATGGCCTTGAGAAAGTTTGAACAAGCATACACCTTCCAAATAAAAAATGTCTGGAAAAGAGGACTCCTGAAAGTTTTAGAATTTTTCTGCTGCCCTCTACAAGCGGTTTTCTCGACTTTTCAGCCTCAAGTTAAAGACAGAGCACCAAAATAAAGCTCCCGTCACAACCCCATTAAGAATTTTGATAATACACATTTATGCATATGACTATTATTAAACAGAGTAAGCGTTTTTTTATGAACGTTTTTTAATATATTAAAAGAAAAACGCTGAAATGGATAAAGTAGAAGCCCCTCAAGCTAGCTCCTGGAGATATATCCACACCACTTACCGATCATCGCAACCTGCCTCATCCAACACCGAGAATGTTCACCTCTTGAAGGAAGCGAGCGATGCAGAATATAACCATCTCAATGGTAACATCATTGACCTGGATCTTCATCGTGTTTTTCCTTCCTAACCCCTAACTGATTCTGAATTCATTTGTCCACTACTTCCACCATGGGCACTGAATTCTGAAACTGGCATGGAACGCTGGGCAAAATCCATTAAAAGCTTCCTTTGTGGTTCATTGGTGTGGGGAAGGCTAGCCCTAAGAAGCTCCACAGGCATTTCACGGCTGATGGCTCTGGCTGCCTCTGACCCTATAACATCAGTGGTCGATGGTGTCTGCAAAAATAATGACTGCACTATAGTCTCGTATTTACTCACACAGTACTTGGTAAGGAGATGGAAGAATTCATCAAAGGAAGCCTGCCATAGCGCTCGATTGGGCATGCTACAGTTACTAGCAACATGAGGATCAGTTAATAATTCTGTAGCCCTTTCAAGAATGGACTTCAGAACAATAGAGGCTCCATCTCCAGCAGAACTTCCAAGGGGGCGTAGTGGTGGCTGCTCTGATGAGCAGACAACAGCAACAAGACAAGCACTTAATGCACGAAGGTCCATACCGTTAACACAAGCAGAAACGGTCTTTGAGAGATTAGATGTTGTCTCAGCTGCTCCAGGATCAGATGGAAGTCCACCAAACAAGAACCTCAAGTGACGAAAAATAGCCATACAGACAATTCGTGCAAGCTCGCTACCAGGGAAAATCAGCTTGAGGAATTTAGAAAGAAGCTTTCGACCTTTGGGAAGAGAGGCCAAACGCAAGAACACAATGTCATCCTTTGGAGACGGGCCAACACCATGGCTACTTTTTCCAAGGGGGTCAACAAGCTGAAGTGACGCTGCCATACCTTCCAGCAGCATCTGTCGCCTTCGTCTGAGCTGGACTCCTCCATCTTGTGGTTTATTATGTTGTAAAAGCCGATCAATATCGTCTATATCAAGAAGAAGACAGAGACCATCTTCAATGGTGATTCTAGCAGCAAGCATTGGTTCTTGCTCAAGAGGCCTTTCGGATATCGTCTGTTCAGAGCTACCGTCACACAAACCTGAGGATGGAGGATCAACTTCAAGCAGAGGGCGAGGTCTACGGATAGAAGCTAAAGGTATTTTTCCCAATGAATCAGGTGTGGAATGAGAATGTTGATCTGAACCACTTCGAGATCGAGATGGAAGCTCTCTTAGTCGGGATGGACAAAATGCATTCTTTGATCTTGACCCAGCAGCTTTTTTGGCAACACGAGCCTGGTGATAATAGTCATCTATGTAAGGATCATTGCTGTGGGTGGCAGCATGCTGCATCTTCAGAATACTTTCTATCTCATCAGCTGTCATATGCTTAGATCTGAACTGGAAGGATCCACTATCACTCTTTTGACTACCAGTTTCAGAACCTTGCTGAGAAGAACGCATGTTATGTTTCCCTCTCTGCGATTTAGGTTTCTGATCTCTCACATCAGTCAATCCAAGGATTGCTCTATGGGAAGATGGTGAATGGGCATTATAGAGCTGAGACTGAAGAGCTGCAAAATGCGCCAAAGATGGTTGTACTGGATGATGTAGCCTGTGCTGTTGCAGCTGCTGATGAGCTGACAATAACTGAGAGGATAGGATGCCATTTTGATGAGATAGTTGCTGTTGTAATATACTGTTCAAGAGATTTGAGTGATCCCCATGTAATAGACCAGCGTTGTTAATCCACTGATTTTGTGGCCTGCTACTAAAAGAAAGGCCGGGAGTGGTGAACTGGTGCATGTTGCCTCCATAATGCAAGCCATGCGGCATCCCAGCTAACTGCATATTAGACTTGGATAAAGAGGCGATGTTTGGTGCAGAGAAGGGTAACTGACTTCCATCAGGAAGGGATGTAACATTTAGGTGACGAGGTGAACCATGTTGAGACCTACTTCCTGGAGGAGGGAATGATGTGAAAGAAGATTTTGGTACTAAAATTGGTTCACTAGAAAAGTGGTGTTGTGTAGGCTGCTGCTGAGGATAAGAGGACGTTCTATACAAAGGTTTTGGTTCAGGAAGACGAATAGAAGATTGAGGTTGAGATGACCATCTCTTCTCCTCCTGAGCACATTCTGAATCAAATACATGCTGCTCTATCCAATTACAAAACTCTCCATCTTGTGCCCAATCAGTTGCAGAAGAACCTAAAGAAGATGATATAATTATATGCGCTCAAAATTACTATATAGAACATTTGAGCTAACAATGAAACTATATCTTTAAGGACAAGAGGACACACATCGACTGAAGAAAAAATATCATACACCATAATTTATTAAAATAACCATAAAAGAGAACCAATTAGCACTCATGCTTCATATAGAACATAAAACACCAAGATGGTGAAAGAAAATAAATCTCTCATTCCCAATACATTTATTTTCTTCATGTTTCTAGAGCTCAAGGATACAGAGATACAACCTATAAACAACTGCTATCCAAATGAGGTTATTCTTTATGTTTTTCCAAGCACAACCTTTCATCAAGGTATCCAATGTGTCATGGATATCCAACCTCTACAAAAAACCAAACCCCCAAAGTTGTACTTTTTCAGTTAGGTTCATCAAAAGGAAAGGTCTTAAAGGATGTTGAAGCGTGTTTTCCTTGCAATAAGTTGTGCCACTCTAAGAAGCATGGACACAGACAAAGGATACAGATGCAACGACACATCAATTGCTAAAATGTACAACTGTAGAACAGACACTCTTTTAAAGAATATATGTGCATATGCACATAAACTAACATATCTTGTACTTCAAAATAGATAATACACATAAATTTAACATGATATTACATGTGCTTGAACAATGAGTAGGTTACAGCAATAGGAAAGGTCTTTAAGTCCGTTGAGTGTGTTAGGCTAGCAAAAAATGTGCCAGAAGCACGGACAACACAGGATATGAACACAGCGACACATCAATTTCTAAAATTATAAATTTGTAGGCCAGACACATTGGCAAACTGTTTAAAAGAATAGTGAATAGATACTAACAGATTTGGAACTTCAAAATAGATAAGACACATAGATGTAACATGAAAATATTAAATGTGCTTGAGCAATGATTAACGTGGACATCCCCCACAATTTCTTTTTGTCTTTCAGATGAGTTTTAAAGGTTGGGATAAATTTTGAGCCCCCTCTCACATTGACCTTTTTTTTTTTTTTTTTTTTTTTTTGCAATCCGTTTGAGAGGATCTCCTATTTTGTAATTTCATCTTGTCAATGAAATGTTCCTATTTCCTATCGGAAAAAAGGTTGGGAAAAATATATGGACAGCAAGTAAAAGGTAGAGCGGGGACAGATGTTTTTTTTTTTTTTTAATTCTCAATCAAAATTTTCAAGTCGACACAGCTTTGTGTCTCCACTACGTCTCCATATGAGTCTCACATGTATCCTTGACATGTCCAAAATGGGAAAGAAATGGAATAAAAGTGAAGGTGACCCCCTTTTTTTTTATTATTACTTATTCTTCACAGTTAATGGCCTTTTCATAGTCTCTAGATTGGTCCCTTTATCCATTTTATATCTATTTTATCCCCCATTTCAAGATAAGGGGTCGTTCAGTGGGCACCTTTTTGCTATTTTGAGGAATGTTTGGATCAAGAGAATTGGATNGGGGGGGGGGGGGGGGGGGGGGGGGGGGGGGGGGGGGGGGGGGGGGGGGGGGGGGGGGGGGCGGATGTGGGCAAAGCAAGGTTTAACACTTCTTCTTAGTGAGTCTAGTAATCTATAAATGGAATCCTTAGTTTGGACTTACTTTGAATCCTAAGTTTCCATCTTCTAAGTGGATGTACATCTCTAGGGAGAGAGGATGTACTTTCAGATCTTTAGTTAGAATCGGCCATGTGATTGTCAAAATGCTTTTCCAACTTAAATGCACAACTAATGGCCACCTAGAGTAGGGAATCTAGAGATAATAAGACAATCTGCTCACGTTGCTAAATAGGGATGGAGATTTACAGAGTGAAATGCTTTGTGACGGAAAGTAATCTCTAATAGGTACGGCTTGTCTAAAGAAGAATGTGTAGCAATAAGTTGATGTTCGTAGAAGGGATAAGATTGAGTTCTGGATTGGCCAGTAATTAAAGACTCCCGTTTATCAACTTTCTCAAGGCTCTTTAGAGTGGTGAATTCATCTCCTTTTCCCAAAGCTGGTCCGTAGAAACTCTAGGATGAGACTAAAATTTTAGAAGAAACCTTTAGGATCA